ATTTGTTTGAAGTCCTTTAACTCAGCTTTAGCTTGATAATCAATTTTTTACAGTAGTTGTGACATTTATCCTGTTATCGAAGGGGCTGATTTGGATTTCCAGTAAAAAGTGTAACTTTAACAAATAAAATCATACATACTCATACAATAGCCTTCTGAAAAGATTATTGTTCTCTTCTGATTCCACAGAAACTAAAGGAATTCGATTTATAATCCTTGTAAGTATACCATAATTATGACTAAAAGTGGTATTTTTAAAAGACAAGTCCCACATCCAATAAATTTAACACAGTTTTTTAAAACTATTAGGAATAATGTGTCATGATTACAGGAAATCCTTAATGGGATGAAAAATCTTATAAAAGGGTATTTTTTCTTGGTATGTAAAAAAAATTGCTAATTGATAAAGACAAATAATTTACTTTTGAGAAATATCTGTAAGCTAGAGAGAAGAAGGTCTTAAGTTTCTGGCAGTATGCTTTTATCATTTCTTACCCAAACTTTTCCAGAAACATATCTCAGTATCAATGCCTCATGTAGGACTCAGCCTATGAACAACACTATATTTTATACTGAAGAACATGATCTCCCCTTCCTGCTTAAAGAAAAAGTTAATACTCAAAGACCAACACTACAAAATTTCTTACAAACTTTTTCAGAAATGTTCAGAAATGAACTTCACTTATAAAGCAGAAAAACTCAACTCTTACTTGGATGTTTTGGTTCAATAGCAACTCGCACAATAGGAGTGGCTTCAAAGTTGAGAGGTGTAAATGGTGGGCAAGCCGGTGATGTTGATAAAGTTGCTGACTTCAGTATGAACTCTTGCAAACCTCCTATTCCTATAAGTACAGAATATAAAAGCTTGTATGCATAAAAGAGGAAAAGTTAACATAATGAACAACACTATATTTTAACAAAATCAAACAAACTATCTTATCCTCTCAAAGGAACACTAGAAAAAAATACACTGATTACCACAAAGATGATGTTCTCACAGTTTACATTGTATATGAAAAGATTCAGTTTAGAACAGGATGATCATACTTTCTGGCCTCAATTCACAAGGACTTTTCTTTGTATTTTTTCAATATTTTAGATTCAGATGAAGAAAGCCAGGGTTTTAAATACAGTGATGCATGTTAGAAAAAGGATGAGGACATTCCCCTATAATATTCTATTTTTCTCCTTAATGTAAAGTTATTCCGTGGTGGTTTGGCTTTGCAACATGAAATACTTGATGTAACCTAACACAATGACTCATAAGATCTTAACCGGAAACACTGAAGCCTGTTGGAGAGAATAAAGGGAATTAGCCCAACATTTAGAATAGTGATAGAAATGTAGCCGTGTTAGTCTGGGGTAGCTGAAGCAAAATGTAGGACAATGTAGCACTTTAAAGACTAACAAGATGGTTTATTAGATGATGAGCTTTCGTGGGCCAGACCCACTTCCTCAGATCAAATAGTGGAAGAAAATAGTCACAACCATATATACCAAAGGATACAATTAAAAAAATGAACACATATGAAAAGGACAAATCACATTTCAGAACAGGAGGAGGATGCGGGGGGGAGGGGGGGAGGAAGGAAGGTAAGTGTCTGTGAATTGATGATATTAGAGGTGGGGAGAGTGGGATGTCTGTGAGCTAATGGTATTAGAGGTGATAATTGGGGAAGCTATCTTGGTAATGGGTAAGATAGTTTGAGTATTTGTTCATTCCTTCTCGACACTCTCTGAGAAGGAACGAACAAATACTCAAACTATCTTACCCATTACCAAGATAGCTTCCCCAATTATCACCTCTAATACCATTAGCTCACAGACATCCCACTCTCCCCACCTCTAATATCATCAATTCACAGACACTTACCTTCCTTCCTCCCCCCCTCCCCCCCGCATCCTCCTCGTGTTCTGAAATGTGATTTGTCCTTTTCATATGTGTTCATTTTTTTAATTGTATCCTTTGGTATATATGGTTGTGACTATTTTCTTCCACTATTTGATCTGAGGAAGTGGGTCTGGCCCACGAAAGCTCATCATCTAATAAACCATCTTGTTAGTCTTTAAAGTGCTACATTGTCCTGCATTTTGCCCCAACATTTAGTGATTAAAAGAAACAGTAAAACTACAGAGGAGACAAATAACAGTTGTACTTGTGTATTAGTTATACTTGTGTATTTATTACAGCTATTTTTCATATTTAGTCTTGGCTACCAGGAACAGTATGACTATTCATGCCTACTGACTTCAAATTAACAAGATGAGGAGCAAAAACCCCTGCACATTGGGACATTGTTTATAACTCACTAGTTATAGATGTAACAATGACAACCTGACATCATAATAAAATGCCAGATTATATAGATAAATGTAATTATTTTGTTTTCTCTCATGACAACAAATGCTCAATGCAATTTTTAAATGGGAAACATATCTGAAGCACAATGTACATTAATAATGCACCTACCCTTAATAACTAAGAATTTCAGAAGCAAACTTCTTCAACCTCAACTTCTCAATTTTAAGCAAGTGTAGAATTTAAATTTGAATGTGTAGGATGAGGGTGTGCTCCCCTTTTCAGCAGACCAGCAACCAAGCATGAGCAGAGCAATTCTTTCCTTGACCTTTCACCGCCACAACACACAGACTTTTTTTTTATTAGTCTGTAGAATTGAGGCCAGGCCCACAGTTAGTCTGTTTTCACCCTCACACCATCAACATAGCCTGCACAAAGGGCCTATTGTATCCCTAAAGAAGCCAGCCTATCAGAGAGTCAGCATCTGCAACATTAGGCAACTTCTACAGCTCAGAAGGATTCATTTTTTGGCCAACTGGATACAATGTAACTGGAAAGGTCACTACTTGGAGAAAACCTGCCTTGGATTAAATGGAAGTAATAGAAAATCCTAAAGTTTAAAAACAGAAAATCAAATACTATGAAGGAAAAACATCTTCATAAGCACAGCCTGCATCTGATCTATGACCTGCATACACTTCCTCTCTTTAAATCATGTATCATGTAGTTTGAATTAAATACAAACACTGGACCTTCACCTGAGACTGAGTCAACGGATGGTCAGTTCATCCTGATCATCTTCAGTTGGTTTAAAAAAAAAAAAAGTAATGATGCACACGAAAGTGAGCTGCTTCTTTTGACAATATTAACCAGAGAATCAAGATACCAAATCTATTACATATCAAACCTAACCTCTTTGTTGTTGCAGAATATATTTAAAAAATCATGTATAAAACCACACACACAGATTGAGAGTGTATTCTATTGGCATTTGGCAATGCAGTCAAAACTTGTCAGTGTTTCCATCAAAATCCCAGTCTGAGAGAGTTTATAGCTTTGCATGCTAAATTACAGCATGAAACAATTAAAATAGCAAACTCCCAACTCAGATGTGAGTTTTAATTTATTTTGTGCGACCAGTTTTGATGTAAATCTGTGCAAAACTTATAAAGATACAAGGGATTCAGCTTTTTCGCATAGTTAATAGATTTCAATAGGAGTTTGCAGATTTACAGGTGAAATTTACATGCACCAATAAAATGATTATGAAAGTATCATTTTCAGTGCATAATATTTTAGTACACAACATTTTGATGAAGGCAGTACAAGTATTCTAATTTACCAGATAAAATGCCAATAAAAAGATTACAAAAGTTACACAGCCATCGTGAAAATACCTTAAACACATTTAATCATTATATTTAAATTATTGCAAAGTCTATAAATATATCTTGTTATTTCAGAGATTCTAAACAATAGTCTATATATTAACTACTGTTTGAAGTATGGATACACAGCAACTACACCATAGTTATGTCCAGGGCTCGCCGAACCGCAGCGAACCCCGCTCGCCAGTGGGGTTCTCTGGCAATCTGCGCATGCGCAGATTGTTCTGAGCATGCGCAGATCGCCCGAACCTGGCCATGGGCGAATAGATTGTATTATTTGTCGAGCCCTGGTTATGTCGGTAATTGGTTTTCTATTCAGCATCTACTTTCAATAAAACAAGTGAAACATCTACTTTCACATCATGGCTAAGAATGATCTTGCAGAGGAACATGGGGGGAGGGGGTGTGAAGAGAGGGGGCGGAAGATAGGGAGAAGACAGAATTTAACAGGAAAAAGATACATTGTTTGAGATAAGAATTTAAAAAAGTACTGGTATTCCGCTTTTAAAAATGTTAAGTTACTTTGAATAGTCATCTCTTAAAAACTAAGTCTACAAAGTCTAAATTTGGTTAATTCAATGAGGAATTATGCCTTGAGGAAGTTTTAGGGGTACATTTCAAAATATCTGGCATGTTTTTGTAACCACTCCAGTCAGCAAGGTCAGGGGCTCTGCAGGACTAGTGCGTGTTACTTGGGTCATGAGCCTTACAGCGTCCACAGAAACAGAGAAAATCATCAAGTCTGATGCTTTTGGAGATCATATATACTTGATAAAAACAAAGTTGCTAATGAACTTTCCATATATTCTACTATATATTTTAGAAACAGTCTGTAGGTCTGTGTGTCCATTCACCTGTGAGTCTGTTTGTTCAAGATCTCCTCCTAAACAGTAAGAACTAGGACCACCAAATTTGATATGCAGCTTCCTCTTATCATAAATTAAAGCAAGGTAAGGGTTTGGCTATGCCAGGACAATGGGCTGTGCCTGGAATTTGATTATTTTTCATAAAATGGAAAGGGAGGGGTCTGGTAAGAGGGATAATTATTCTGTAGAAAGACCACACAGGGGCAACAAGGGGCCAGATGAGGACCAAAACAGCTGTAACCCCACTGGGGCAGCAGGGAGAAGGGGTGGAGAAAGGGTCAGCTATCTAATATATATTTCAGAGTTTGTCTGTCTGTCTGTCCATCCCTCAAGCTGGGGGACATACCCCTGCCCCCATCTGTGCCAGTTGCAGCTGCAGCAGCCTGAGACAGGCACTTCTCACTGGGCCCCAAGTTGCTGCAGGTAAGAAAAGGATGAGGCTGTCTTCTCTCTTCAGCACAGCCACAGCCTCTGTCCTTTCTCTTCGGCACACTGAACGCCTCATCTCCAGCCCCACCCCAGAACAATGATTTAAATGAAGAAAAAACAAAACTTATTTGAGTTAAGGACCTGAGCAATGCTGGGTAAATCTTCTAGTATTCCTATATACTGCCTAACAACACTGTAACAAGCAATGAGTAACCCCCGGAAATTTCCAAACTGCCACAAACAAGGTAGAGACACAGTATTTAAAGCTGCACCAGAGCACAGCAATTTGGACCTCACTGATGGGCTTTTGGTACCAGCGCCTCAGAAGCTGAGACAGTCTCTCACTTTAAAACAAAGTCAAAGGACAAGCAGTACAGCTGAGCCGTACTGTAACAAGCAATGAGCAACCTCTGGAATTTCCAAACTGCCAAAAACAAGGTAGAGACACAGTATTTAAAGCTGCACCAGAGCACAGCAATTTGGACCTCACTGATGGGCTTTTGGTACCAGCGCCTCAGAAGCTGAGACAGTCTCTCACTTTACCCGCAGCTAAAACGGGTTCCCTGGCTAGCAGAAAGGATGTAAGAAATGCCGTTTTTCCTATCATGTTGTTCTTTTAGTTAAGGGGCACAGCTGATAGCAGTCAGGAAATAACTTGCTTGTGTCTGACAGATACCTGTGTAGCTTTTTTTGTACTTTGAGAACCCAGTGTCAGACCTGAGACTCACTCTGGCCGGCAACAAATCCTTTATAAACTACCTTTGCTCTGGTATAGCTGATCTCTCCTTGTAACCTTAGTAAGCTACATCAATGTAAATTGTGGCTTATACTGGCCTTTTTAGTAGAGATTTGCACTAGCA